TCCACCAGTACCCCCAAGGCCTTCTGCTCAGGGCTTTCCTTTCCCTTCCAGAAAACACAGCGCTCTCCCTCACATTTCCGATGTTTGATGGACAGTATGTCTTCCCAAATGGTTTTTTTCAAGAGACGTGAAAAGATACAAGAAAAACATACGAGGCCATATTCCACAGCCCAAGAGAGGTGAGGTTGCTCAGCTCCACGTCCCTTGGCCAGCCGGTAGCACAGGCACACAGAGCACACCTACACACCACATATATATACGCACACAGCCATGCGTGTAATCACACACTGACGACACGGGGAGCTGGCCTGGATTCTCCCCAGCAGCCATCTCCTCCTCTGGCCTTGCCTGCAGACATCCCACCACCACGGGCTCCCAGGACGCTTTCGCCTCCTGCCCGGCTCAACCCGCGCTGGCACTCGCACACCCACTTGGCCACCCGTGCCCACTCCAGGTGCTGCACCAGGGGCACAGGCTCTGACCCTTGGTGCCACACCCAGGGCTGCCACTTGCTGTCACCCGCCTGGCTCTCTCTCACCCCGATGCGCACGTGCTCCGGGTGCCGGCACCATGGGCCACCGTCACCCAAGGTGCTGCTCCCATTGCTGGCCTGTTCATCAGGTCACTACAGTCACTGTGCCACGGAGACACGTGCTCAGACCCCAGCTGCTGGCACTCGGTCCCCGTGCACATGCAGAACAGAGCTCTCCACTCAGGACCAGTTACACCAGTTTAGTAAGAAGCCAGGCCACGCTGCACCGGTCAGGCTCAGGGCATGGCCAGGCAAGGTTACTGACAGCAAATTGCTTACGTGTGACCAGCCCTTTTTATCCCCTTACACCTGTTTTTCCCACTGGTGCGGGTTCCCGTGCTGGCCCAGGGAACATAGGACCACATATTCCAAAGGACCACATATTCCAAAGTTCCCACCATGTGCCACTTGTGCTCCCCTTCCATGTTTGTCACTTGGCGCAGACTGCCCGTTCCAGGGAATTTTTGTTCCCGGGATTTTGGGTGTTTGAGACACCTGTCTCTAGGGCCCAGGAAGTCTCCACTCTCCGGAGTGCACCAGAGGAGTACCCCCCGCTGAGCACACGGTTGTTTCGGGGATTACAGATCGGCAAGAGTGCCAGAACCACTGTCTGGGTGAGCCTGTCTTTCCACTCGGTCTCCCACACTGTGCAATCCCCAAATGCTCTTCCCCTGCTTCCTATGATGTGTCCCACCTCTACGTGAAACGTGCTCCTGCAACGACTCACCGACGGGTTTTCCACCTGGATCCTGGGGCTCTCCTGGGAGGCAGTCGTCAGAGAACTCATCCACAACCTTTAAAGTGGCCTCCTCTGCACGACTTCTGAGCCTGCATGTCCCGTGTCCGGATCACTACGCAGGACCTGGCCACACGGCATGCAACGCCTTAAAGCAGTTTCTTTTACACTTTAGGTGGTGAAGGCAGATGGGGAACACAGGGGAAAGTAGGATTTTGAGAAAAAGGGACATAATTAAAGTTAAAATTAATTTGCAAAAGTTATCAGATCCTAAACAAATAATATACATAGAAAAGCATGATACAATTTAGGAAACAGTATTTAATTTAAGTTACAAAAAAGCCCAGAATGGAAGAGAACATCCATTTGCTAACATTGTTTATGCTACACAATCAGTGTCTTGTGTTGCAAGCACTCTACAGGCATTTACCACTCTCTGACCTTAAAAAGACTGCCACAAGCTGCAACATCAACAAAAACACTTCACGACTTTGTAAAAGCCTGTTCCATAAGGTTCAGGGTCAAGAGACATAAACTTACTATTCGTTAACATATTCTGAAGTCTAGTAATTAACTCAAATTGATATTGGAGTTAAGAAGTGAGACTTCTCCAGCGCCACAGTTGAGGTTTCCACACAGCTTAAATGTGGTGTGCAGAGAGCACAAAGCAAACCCACTCTCATTTATGGCCAGAAAGAATAACGCTGACTGTTCAGAATGTAAACTTCCTTCTGCACTGACTGTGGCCCAAAAGATGCCCCAACAGCCCTCCTCCCTGCACTTAGGGAGCTGCAGAAAAAGACATTTTGGAAGACTGGTCCCTCAGTCAAGGTCAGAATAAACTTTATTTTGAAAGAGCTACTATGTTGATGTAATTGCTTTGCCTAATATGCGTACAAGAGGTTGTAAAATGATCAGGAAAAAAGCGGCTGTACTCTAAAGATGCTCCCTAATTTTATGTAAAAAATGAAATGGCTGTTTTCCATGATTTATGCCCTAAGCTATAAAAACAGTTTAGGTTAGATTATAACCTAAACTTTAAGACCTTGAGTTAAGAAGAAATGTATGACAACACTACTATCATATTACCATCATTAGTAAACATGGGCCTTCTGAGCCTTCTTTCTATGGGCAAAGACACGAAACCAGACTGTTCACAAGAACCGTTTCTTTCCTCTGCCCCTCCAGCGAAGTGAAATGTAGCACCAAATAGACCTGAGAGCTGATGTGATCTTTCTTCAGTCTCCTCTCCCTAATTTTTCGAGGCGCACGGAGCATTACTTTCAAATTTGCCTGTGTTTCAGCTACTTAACATCTGCATTTCTAACATAGCCACACTATGTTTTTACTTCTAATAACAGACACACCTAACTCTGAGACAGTTCATTATGCCACACGCAGCAGTGAACGGTAATTCCGATTTAAAAGTGGTATTCCATACTAACGTTGCATATAAATTACAGAGAAAAACAGGAACTGAAAAATTCCAAGGTGAAATTCTTTTAGCAAGGGAAGTAAAACTCTTTGGTGAGCATAGAGACAATGCACGGAATCTGTTTCTTGGCATTAAAATCCTGCCGAGTTGAGCAGGACTCGTACTCTGCCACTCTGCGATTTACACGAGTTAAAATCTGCATGAGTTCAAGTTTCCTTCCGTGTTCCTTCAGCATTTTACACAGTGACTGAATAAACCAGGAGCCTTCAGCTGAATTCCTCCAGGAGTAGTAGCCTGCGGAAGAGAGAGATGTTGGGCTGAGCAGCTGTAGCAGCCTCTGACAGAGCACAGGATAAGCAGTGAGGGCAACAATGCATCGTTTCCAACAGCTCAAAAGCACTAACCAACAAAAGTTGAGTTGAAAAACTCAAAAGCACTAACCAACAAAACTGAGATTTGATAATCTCCCCAAATTCCAACTCAAGAGAGTTTTCTAACTCAGAAAACTCGTAAGCATGTAGAAAATCCCAAGGCAGGAAAACTCTGCTGCTGCAACAGTCACTTACTAGTCACTTACTACATCTTTGCAGAAGGAAGGAGAGGTGACAGTACAGATGGCGCCCAGACGCAGAACGGATTTCAGCATCACTATCTTCAGGACTATGTACATGAATTAAAGACTGCAAACCATTTCTGCTAACTGGTAGACGTAAAGGGCGGGCCAAGGGCTCTGCCGCTACGGATTTTGCTTAAGGATGCAATGCAAATCAAGTCAATGCTGGTGTTTCTCACCCTCCTCTGCAGATGTGTTTACAGACGTGATCGTTTCGTGCTCTCAAAACTACTAACATCTTTTACTTCCCGCTGTAAATTATTTTCACAACTCAGATGAACTGAATTTACGGCAGATGAATATTTGAGGGCTTCCTAGTGAGCAAGATGTATATTAAGGGCTTGGGGTTTTTTTTTTGGTAGGAACCAAGAACAGCAACTACCTCAAAAAGAAATCAAACCGGAGGTGGGGGGGAGGAAATGATTGAAGACAATCTATTTCCGTGAAAGAGAACAAATGAAGTTGTCGCCCACTGACCAGCCACCATTACAAACTGTCATGTACAACATCAATACAAGCTGGAAAATACCCAATTTTTGGCAAGTGTCCCACCTGGAGCTGTGGAATAGGCATACAGGAAGTCTGCTTCTACAGGTATTTTTTGACACACGGTTTCTTCAGATCCACTGTCTGCCTCAATACCAGAATCTAATTCTGTTCCTCTACAAGCCTATTTGGAGGGGAGAAGAATGGAAAATAAAATGAGAAATAAAGAAATAAAGGCAGAATCATGATCAGAATACCCATTATTTTCCCTGTTTTAAAGACAATAATATCTCAATTCAAAACCTGCAAAACCAACAAGATTTTTCATGTCCTGTTTCCATTAGACAGACTCAGAAGTAACTAGCATTTATTTAAATCAACTCCAGTTTGGTTGTAATAGCTATTAATTCAAAAGTGCATTCAGAAACTCACACATTGGCTAGTGTTCAGAGAGATTCTACTCAATCCACAGAGTTAAGGTACTGCAATCTCAGCTATCACAAATACCGCCTAAGAGGTCAGCCTGTGTCACTTTTAAACCTCAAGAGAATATTACTCTGAAAGTAATTCCATTTAAATCAATTTTAGAAATAATTTTAACCTTTTTGCATTACAAATTCATGAGAAAAAGTAACGTTTTTAAGTATCCCGCCGATTTGGTGATTCCTGCTCAGCTGTACATCACCTGAATGAAAAAGAGCTTGGGTTTTCCTGCTAAACTTCTGCACCTGTCCCCTCTGAAAAGGCTCGTCAGTGCTTTCAGTTCAAGAGGGCCATCTGTACCATAGATGAATCCGTCATCACCATGGCTCAGCAACACGCAAACAAAACTGCTTCGCTTGCTGTGATCTTCCTCAGAAACTTGAAAGAAAACAAGGGAATTATCCTAACTTCTTGCATTCCCTAAAAGCTTTGAACATTTGATAGTTCTTAAAGACTTATGTCACATAGGAAGCAACTCTCATGTTTAAAAACCTCCAAGCAGTTGTCACTTCTGAACAGAAGGAGACAGCCTACTTTATTTCAGGAGGCTGGACACAGAAAACCCCAAATTACAGGCCAACCCTACCCTTTCTAAGACACGGCCACAGAACTAGGCTGGGAGCACCATGAGGAGACAAAGGTGGTGTTCCCACAGTGTCTCAAAGTCCGAATGGTACAGCTTGCCATGCAGTAATGGTCAGCAGTCTCGTGCTCTGGGACTGGACTGACGGGAAGTGCGGAGTTTTGAGAAAGGATGGGGAAGTCTATCTCTTTGCAATCAGGGAAGTTTCAACTGCTTGGATTACATGAGAACTGAACGTAGCATTAAAGTTGCTGCTGCTGCAACAGGTACTAGTGTTACCCCTACTCTCTCACTCTTGCCCTGTAGCAAGGTCTCTTTTTTCAAACCTCTGAATTTTGTACTTAAGAGACATTTAAGTTTGATACAAAGTTGTGTGGTTTAGTCCCATCAGGCAACTAAGCACCATACAGCTACTCACCTCGCTGCTCCCTGCGCCTCCTCCTCCCTCCAGTGTGGGATGGGGGAGAGAATCAGCAGTGATACCGTCCCCCCCGCCAACTCCCCTCATCTTATATACCAAGCATGATGTTTGATGGCATGAAATACTCCGTTGGTCAGTTTGGGTCAGCTGTCTTGGCTGTGTTTCCTCCCAGCTTCTCGTATAGAAGAAGCTGGGAGAATAGGGCCAATATGAGAAAATGAAAAAATCATTGGCTTAATGATAAACATTGCTTGGCAACAACTACAACATCAGTGTTACCAACATTCTTCTCAGCGCAAATCCAAAACCCAGCCCCATACTAGCTACTATGAAGCAAACTAACTCTATCCCAGCCAAAACCAGCATTAAAGTGTTTGTAAATTTATATTTTTTTTTTCATCTTGTGGTATGCAAAGAGTATAGAACAGATATTCTCTGATGTATTTGTTGCCTGACATTGTGGGGATTGTACCTGACGACCAACATGATTCTTTTAAATATATGAAAAGATAGAAACATGGTTCAAAAGAAAGGATCTAAAACAAATTCTGAGCGGGAAACTCAAAAAGATGCAAGAGTTTGTAGATGAAAAGTGTAATAGTCTCAAAAGCTGAAGTCTTCTGTTTAGAGCTTGCCAACACACTGAATTTCTACTCTGGAGAAAATGAACTATTTAGATTTTTCTCAAGAGATGCACACTCAGGCACTTCTACAACCTATGGACAAACACTGCATCTAGAAGAGTCAGGGAAGGCTGGCTTTTGGGAATCTCTAGACTAGGCTGCAGTCTGCAGTTTACACTGTCTATCTGGAGGCCTTATACCACAGGTAAGAGAGGTCTTTCCACTTTCAGCTACTGTCAACAGACAGGCTACAACTGCAGTAATAAATTAATCATGCCTGGGAGCATTGTCCGGCATAAACATTAACCGGCACTAAGAAACCTATATCTATGTAGCAAACATTTACATTAGAAAATACTCAAACAAAAACAACAAAACAAAAAACCCAACTGGGATTGCTGCAGGCTAACTGACACTGGAACTAAACCCTGGAACACTTTTACTGTTGAACTGTGACCTGGAATAGTCTGGGAGAGCGCTAGCAGGCATGAGCCACAGTCATGCCAGAGAACCTTCCAACAGTTTACCAGAACAGTCTGTGTTCCAGGGCTACAGATACCTCCAGGCACCGTTTAATTTATTGGTTTAGATGTAGCCAAGTTCAAACAAAACAGAGTGAACACAAACATTAGTATAAAGCTCCCACTTGACAGAAACATGTTTTGTTTCACGAGTCAAACAAAACATGAGTTGTTTCTCTAAAACAGTATTTCGGCCCACACACTTGCATTTCTGGTCCCTCGAGCAGAACACCTCTTGGGCCACATCACTGAGCATATGTCACAGAATCCTTTTACCCAGCTACGCAGGTTTCTTTCCAACTCACAGAGCTTCAGTGATCCCATGGTCAGAATATAAATCAGCCTGCGTTTAAGTTTTCAGCCTTTTTTCCAGCCTTCTTTAGAAGATGAGAAAGGATACAGAGACAACAGTTATGGCACAAAAGCTGGGGAGACAGCAAAGATGAATAAACACAGAAACAATGATGTACATGTCATCCTTAGCAATAAACCACTGATAGATGGGAAATACCACCTAAAAGAACCATGGAAGAAGAGATGTGAGGGCTAGGGATGTATTGGGAAGCAGTGGTTGATTTAATACACACACTGAACATTTTATTACTTACCATTTTTCAGTAGGTTAAAAATGTCCTCACATGAAAGATCATTGTTGATCTTTATTTTATATCCCAACTTCATAAAAACTTCTCTGACGCTTGCAGCATCCACGTCTGTACCCGAACGGGGCAACATCCCTACACATAAGGGAAATGTATTATTTTTTATATTATATAGATGGCATCATCCAAAAGAGCCAAATTCTTTTCTCAGTTAGAGCTGTATCAGCCTGGAATTTTATTCCATTATTCCAGCTGCATTCTAACAGAAGAAACACTGCACTGTCTTACATGCACACCATCTCCCTCTCTCTGTACCTATACTGTAGATTTATCTACTCCTTATTTTTATATCTACCTATCTGTATAAAGACATAAAAAGGATTTCATTTGCACAACAGAAACCATGAGTAAAAGGTAAGATGGGCTTGTAGTGCCTATCAATTTTTCTCCCCATTACTGCTATACCCCAATGTGTGCTCTCTATGCATATTTGGAAGAATGCGCTGAAATTAATCACACCCATTGAAACAACTTAAGTTTAGATTGCAATCAAAATTGACGTACATATTTAATTTTGAGGAATAATACATGCCACTAATTCATCTAAACAAGGGAAAAAAAACTGAAAGCAGTACCGGTCTGTCTGTGGAAGTTCTTATTGTTTATGATTACACATTGCCCCATCTCTGGATAATCCACTCTGTAACTGTAGTCTGGCAGAATTCCAGAGTCCATAGACTTGCTAGCAGGTAGGTTCTTTCTGTATAGGAATCAGACAAACTCTAGGTGTTAATTTCTGATCTCTCTATTCTAGTTTCAAAATAATAATAAAATTATTTTAGCAAAACCAATGAAACTGATAAGGTTTGCTACTTGTTCCCTCAGCAAGTTTGCTGCCAACAC